GGATTACTGGGATTTATAGGATATATTCCGCGGGATCCCATCATCATTTGAACTTTTTAAACTCAATCAGTTTTGAGAGTCCACAATTTTCCGCAGTCCACAATTTTCCGCAGTTTCCGCAGTCCACCATCCGGGATATAAGGTGTAATCTGGGAATATAAGGCGGTTTGAGAGATTAAGTCAAGGGCGTATCCAAGGGGTCCAAAATTCTCAAAATTTTCGCCTGCGGCGCTAAAAATAGAAGAAATCTGGTTTCCTGACTTTCCAGTAAGCCCTTATCTAAATACGAATAGGTACACTGGGATTTTATTAAGGGATTTGGTGATTAACGCACAATATCACTTAAATCTTGCGTTATCCTTCAAATCTCCGATATCCATTCAAATCTCTTCAATCCTTTTAAATCCCATTACAATATAGCACCTTAATTATCTGATATGCGATCCTGATCCCCTTAAATCTGATCTCCTTTAATAAAACCAAATCTAGCAATATCTCACACCAATCCTCCGATAATTTAAATCACCTTAATCCCTCAAATCCACTGATATCCATTTCAATTCTCTTCAGCCCTTCCTTTACCCTCCAGATCCATCGATATACCTTTTAATTCACAGATATCCCTCCAAATCCACTAATTATTTTTAAATAAATCTTTTAAAAATAGACTCGAAAATGTCTCGATGCCCGACTTGATAAAGTCAGGCCCGAAAGTGACTCGTTCCGGCCCGACTCGATAAAGTTAGGCCCGAAAAAGACTCGTACCGGCCCGACTCGATAAAAACAAGCCCGAAAAAAATGCCTCGACCGTCGGCCCGACTCGAAAACGGCAACCCTAATTAGAAATTAAGTGAAGATTGTCTTTGCATTTGAGGTTCATAAGTTTTTGTACTTCTACAATTTATTTTTAAAATCACACTTGGTTTATTAGGAACTAAATGGTCCCATTTAATTATAGGTAGTATTTACATTCGAATTTTCGTAAATTTAAAGCTTAATTCACGCATCTTGAAATTAACTTTGCTGAATAAATTTTTCGATTAATAAGTTCAAAAGAGAAATTATAAAAAGTAATTTTAGTCATCTTTAAAATATATTTTCATTTAAATAATGAATGTTAAAATTTTAGCGTTGGCGAACATTTTATTATTCATACCCTTTTTTATTCTTTATTTGCTTAAGATTATTATTTATTAGATGCGAAAAAGGCGAGGGCTCTTACTAAACTATCGAGAATTGTTTGCTAACAAAAGTTTTCATTTATTTTTCGTCGATTTGATTGCTCATTAGGAAATATGAACTTCGATAATTCGGTGTTTATAAGTTATCTTTTCTGTGTTAAATTTCAAATAATGTCCTAAAATCCCCGCTAGTACCAAAAAAATGTAAGTGAAAATGAGAGACTAAAGAACAATTTTCAGAAAATATAAAAATTTACACGTGTAAATTTATTTAAATATATATTTACAGTGAATGATTTTACATAATATTTATTGTGAGTTATTTTTATAATTTCATTTTTTGACTTTTTTGTTTCATAACCAAAATTAATGGATCTTTCAAAATTTATTTGTTGCCTAATTTTATTTATGATGTTAATACATATTAGCTTCATTATATTATTTAAATTATAACGAACGTGATTAATTTTATATTTCAAATCATCTAGAGCAGTTTAATTATTAAATTTTAAAGGATTTAAATCAGGGCTCCGATCGACAAAATGCCACTCAAAAGTATCAAAATCTTGTAAAAAAAGTACATAGGGTGAAAATTTGCAAATAAAAAGTACACTCAAAATTAAATTTGAAAATATTTATTCGTGATCAATCTTTTATATTTCTCTCCTAAATTAATCTTTTCTAATAATTTCTTGTTTCAACTGAGCATTTTGTGCATTTCATTGCATGACATGTCAAAATTTGCTGTCACATGAAGCAAAGCTCTGACAGTCAACCTCAAGCGAGTTTCTTTCCTTCGTCCATTGAATGTTTGCCATTGAGAAGCGCCGCAGGCGAAAATTTTTGAAAGGTGCCTAAGAAGCCAGATTTCTTCTTTTTCAGCGCCGCAGGCGAAAATTTTAGAATTTTGGAGGTCCTTAAGCCAGATTTCTTCGTTTTTTCAAAAATGTTGATAAAAAAGTACATACTTTCAAAAAAGTACAAATTCAATTTCGGAAGTACGAAGGTCGATAAAAAAGTACAATACTTTTAAAAAAGTACGAATCGGAGCCCTGATTTAAATAAGTTGCGCTATTTTCAGAAATCGCAAAGAAATTTTAGAAATTTTTTTTTCAAAAAATCTTTTTTTTTCAGGAATCGCACAAGGATGTGTGCAAACCAGTGCTGGGTATGGCTCCGGGAGCTAGCTCCGGAGCCCGGCTCCGGAGCCGGCTCCGGCGGAGCCGGAGCCGGAGCCGGAGCTAAGATTTTGGAAACCCCGGAGCCGGAGCTGGAGCCGGAGCCAAGAATTTGAAGTGCCCGGAGCCGGAGCCGGAGCCGGAGCCAAGGTTTTTCAATTCCCCACGGCTCCGGCTATACACCCCTAAAGATGGGTTAGAGAAAAAAAGTAAGCAAAGATGCTAGGCGTGAAAAGAAAAGGGAGAGAAAATTGAGACGGGTAAAAAAGATTTTCTTTCCTTTCCTTTTCAATGTAGGTGTGGTTGAATGGATAGTGAGTTAGATTCAGAGTTTTACCCACTTGTAGGTTCGAAAAATATTACAACAACTAATTAAATAATTGTTTTTCGTTGGAAAATAAATTATAATAAGCATTTTTTTATTAAATAAAGCTGAATAAATTTTTCAAATTGATTAGTTTTAATCTATGAGGTGTCAAAATTTTCAAAATTTTCGCCTGCGGCGCAAAAAAAGGAAGATTTTTGCCTTAAGGATCTTCTAAAATTTTCAAAATTTTCGCCTGCGGCGCAAAAAGTAAGTGATAATGAGAGAGTGATAGATCCACCAGCCCTTAATCCGGCTTAGTCACCGATATCGCCCTTAATCCACCTAAATAACACGATAATCCCCCCAAATCCCGCTTAATCCATTGATAACCCTTTTATTCCTCTTATATCACTCGATATCCTCCTTTATCTACCAAAATCCCCCAATGAAAACTAATTCATTGATTTTCCACCCGGAGCCCGGAGCCAACATGGAGCGGCTCCGAAAATCGCCGGCTCCGGAGCCGGAGCTGGAGCCGGAGCCAAGATTTTAAAAGGTCGGAGCCCGGAGCCGGAGCCGGAGCCAAGATTTTGAAACCCCGGAGCCCGGAGCCGGAGCCGGAGCCAAGAATTTGAAACCCCGGAGCCCGGAGCCGGAGCCGGAGCCAACAAATGGCAAATACCCAGCACTGGTGCAAACTCTAAGAAATTCGGATTATTAGCTAATTGTGTAGATTTTGCTCTTTAAGGGTTTTTATCTTCATTTTTCCTTAAATATAATCACATTACTTTTGTCTTTTTTATATATAATTTTTCTTATAATTTTTCTGGCAAATTTATTTCATTTTAAAATTTTTCAGTTATTTTTGAGGTTATAATTTTATTAAAATGCATTTATTTTTATTGTTTTTTATTATCCATTGTAAGTGTGCATGTTTGTAGTATGTACCTTTTGGTGTTCGTTATAAATAAAATTAAAAAATAAATAAATGAGCCGCGGTCCCTAGAAAATCTTCAAAGTATATTATGAATATTTTCAATTTAATTTACATTATGTCAATATTTGTATGTTCATTTGTGTGTTGATTCTTCTAGTAGAATATAGTACGTTTAAGTATACGTTAATGATCTAAAGAGAAAGAAAAATGAAATTTTTTAAAATTATGTAACGTGGTTTAGCTAAAATAAATAAAAAGAATTTTCTTATAAAACTTAAAGATTAATTATTAAATTATTTTTTGTTTCATAATATGTAGCAATTAATGGATCTCTCAAAATTTATTTGTTGTTTAATTTTATTCATAATCTTAATATTAACTGCATTATTTTATTTAATTTATAACCAACATGATCAATTTTATATTTTCAAATCATCTAAATCGGTAACTTATTAAATATTTTCTAGTTTCCGGGACCCTGGATTTTAAGAGGGATTCATGAGGATCATCGTAAGTCTCCGACCAATAGTTTAAAAGATAGCACACATTATAATTTCCAATTTTCAATTAAAAATTTAATTAAGATATCAAGTAAAAAGCAGAAAATGCCCCCAATTCTGGTTTGGAATAAATGTATTCGAGTAACAAGTCAAGGAATTGGTTATCCAGATTATCCTGTGATCAATTCAACCATTAAATGTCCGTTCAATTGTACTTTTACTACCGATAGAAAATTGTATGTTTACATTTAATTTAAAAAACGGACGAGCTATCACAGAAAATAGCAAAGATAGGATAAATTTAATCTTTCAAAATTTTTAAAAAAAACTTTCAACCACCGCCTGTTCGTTTTAATTTTTGCTTTATCTGCAAGGCTGGGAGGGAATTCGTGTAACAAATCAACCAGTCCTTAAATTAATGAGTATGAAACCTTATGGGTTAACGCGACAGAAGTAAAATATAATTTAATTTGAGATGATACAAATACAATTTTATATTATAAATTTGTTAGAAAGAGCCCTTCTAACAAATAAGAGTCCTTATTGTGAATCTTTTCCAGTTACCTGAAAATAACAGTTTTCACAACTCTTGAATTTTCTATGATTCTTGGTCTTTTGTATTATATGTTCGATAATTATGTAATTAATATGTAGTGTGATTACTAGAGCTGTCAAAAATTAAAATTTTCCAGAAAACACGAAACCAAGACTGTACCTCAAGACAAATATCGAAAAAACCCCAATAAAAGCTTGAGTGATTATTACTAACCGCTCTAGAGATTACGAATAAATTTAATTTTATTAAGCGAAACAAACGCATCAACAACGATTTTCTTGCTCCATACATTCTGTGCAATAAATTCATGGCCTCAAAATCGTAGAGAAGATCAAAATTATATGATGTTTACAGTTGAATCTCCTATACAGACTACCTTGAAATATTATGACAGAAAATTTCTAACAGACAAATTTTTTAATAGTACAGCAACTTATCGTTTAGATAGTTCTGTATTTATGCCTTATGATGCTTTTACTAGAATTACTCCAACTACTCCAAAAGAATATATTTGGGATCAAAAAGAGGTAAAGAGATATTTTTATGGTGTGTCTATTAGTGGGCATCGCCTAGGTCTCTACTTTCGTTTGATCAGCCAAAATTTAAATAAAACCGAAAAAGCCTAATTAATAACTCAAAAAGTTGTTTTAAATTAAAGGTTCTGGCAAAAGTTAAGAACAAAACAAAATTAGCTTTCCAAGCAATTTCACATTGTAATTCTGAATCTGGTCGTGATCTTATTTCAAAAAAACTACAAAAATTAATGGATTTGGAGGTTGTTGGTGTGTGTTATGGTAGAAGAGGGTGCGACGATGCATGCTATAACCGTAGTTTAGGTAAAATTAAATTTGATTAAAGTTAAACAGCAAGACATATGCTGCCGAATTTGCATGCCGAATTCATTTTTACCGAGTGATCCCAGAATATATTCATACATATAATGGCTCTAACTTTAAATATAATCATAAATGTAGGCCCCAAATTTAAGATAGAATTTGAACATTTATTTTTATTTTAGAAACCCACATGTTTTATTTGGCATTGGAGAATAATATTTGTCAAAATTATGTAACAGAAAAATTTTGGAATTCGTTAAGATCACTTACTGTACCTGTAGTTTTTAGTAGATCTGTTTTTGAAGGAATGGATGTTCCTTCTAATGCATTTATTGCTTTGGATGATTTTAAATCAGTGAATGAATTTGTTGCGCATTTAAAGACTTTGCAAAATGATACGGAAAGATATTTAAAGTAAATTGAAAAATTTGAGTACGGGCAGATAAAACTCAATCTTAGTTAAACTAGAGGTTTTTAGTACCCAAAAATGTACGGGGGTTCGAGTAGTGTACCTACCGAGTCTCGTGTGGTTCGATTATCAAGATAAGGATAATTGAACTCAAGGTTCACGATCTAATCGAACTTGCGGACAACCCCTTAACCCTTGATATCGTCTCCGCTTCCTCTTACAAAAATATGTATAACTAGTTTGCGAACATTAATTTATTCAGCCTAGCAAAGTTAAGTTTATAAATATAGACACTTTGAATGGACAAAAACATATACAAAAAGAAGATTTGGTTATGATTATTCTCCAATATGCAAAATATGTGAATATGCTACTAAACAGTTTGAAGATAAATCAAAGAATATAATTGATTTAAATAAATTTTGGAATGATAAGGATTGTAATAAATTTGATGTTGAAAATTTTTTGAAAGATTAATAAATAATAAGTTTTAAAAATAGTTTGTTAAATTCGATCTGGTTAAGATGTTGTAGCAAAAAGCTGGCTAAAATACGAGTCGGAACAAGACTTGGGCGAACTTGCGGACAAAACAAAACGAAACAAATTTTTTTAAAAATCGTTTCGTTAACGAAACGTGACGAAACAACCAAAATTTTACTAAACGAAGCAAAACGAAACATTTTATTTTTCAAAGAACTTTTAAAACCGCATTTATTTTCACAATAATTCGACCATATTTCAATTATTCGACGATATACGATAAATTTAGCAATTTTAATTTCAAAAGATAAAATTTTTTAGAAACCTCGGGTATCCTCAAACCTCGATCTCGGACCTCGCCTCAATTTTGACCTAGGTGATCTTCGATCTCGATTTTTTCGAAAAACCTCGATCTCGCGCAACCCTAGTTTTATATAAAAGTTATTAAATTAAATTTTCATGATTATTTAAATCAAAATTTTTTATAGATTATATAATTATTAGTCCCAAGTCCCTTTCAACATTGCAAAATATTTTTCAGTTTGTTGTTGTGCCACAGTAGGGGTAATTTTATTTATTGTACTCTTCTCCAGAGATTTATTTATTTTTGGAGAACAACAAAATATTTGGTTAAAAATTTTGAAGAAATTCTTCCTCAGAATTTTATGAAAACTAAAAAGATTTGATTTAATAATGGAATAAAAATATTTTTGGCTTACAAAATTGTTGTAGAAATTATTACAAAGTTAATGATCGCAATAAACAAGTTGTTAAATTGTGACTAAAATTATTTAAATTATTATTATAGTATGAATGTATTTTTAAAATTATTATTATATTTAAATTATTATTATAGTATGAATGTATTTATGATAAATTTTTTCATTACTATTTAGAAATAACTCATAAAGTATATTTTTATCAATCTCCGTTTAAACCCCATTAAATATACAAGATAGGACAATGACACGTCTATATGTAAAAGCAGTTCATCGTTATGTAAATTTGACCATAGAATAGGTCTAGTCCCTGTTATCCTGATCCTGCTTCAAATCCAACACTACAGATATACAAAACTTCTTTGGATATACTGTTATTCTTGTGCTTTTCAACCTTGGCTTGGAAAGACACAAAACAATCACTCATGCATAAGCATGATAATTGGAGATCTATCGTTTATTCCAATTGCTGTTTGCTCCTTAATTCGGAGTCTTATTTTGTAAATATATAATCCTGATATACCTAACCTATATGATATTACGAAAGTTATTCATTATTTATTAATAAACTAACAATTATTTCACTTGTAAAGTCATCTGCTTCAAAGATAAGTGAATAAAATGTTTGCGAAAATGCTGTCGAAACACCTGCAACGAAATATGCAAGAATTGTTGGCGCCAATTGAAATGCGCTGCGCATGTTTTCCAAATACTTTAAAAATTAAATGTGAATCAGAAGAAATTTTTTCATCAAAAATTCAACTTACATATATGTATTTAGTCAATTTTATTTTCCCAAACTCCTCGAACTATCTCCACATTAAGTCCTCAGCACCTATCGGAATCAGGGTGGCCCTTTTACCCTATTTATAGAGGATTTTCCCTATTTTTGACCTTTTCGCCCTATTTTTTCCCTATTTTCTCATTTGCCATATCTTTGCCCTATTTTTACATCTTGTAAAATTTTAAAAATTCTTCGGATTTTGTAAGAAAAATGGTAGAAATTAAGGATTTCTGACTTCCTGGCCTTCCAAAATCCTCAAAATTTTTGCCTGCGGCGCAAAAAATGGAAGAAATCTGGCTTCTAGCCTCCCAAAATCATCAAAATTTTCGCCTGCGGCGCTAAAAAATGAAGAAATTTGGCTTCTTGGCCTTCCAAAATTCTCAAAATTTTCGCCTTATTGAAATTTTAAGTATGCTTAAGCTTTTAAAGCTATGCCCTAATTTTTGCCCCATTTTTGGCCGATTTCGCCCTATTTTTGCCCTATTTTTGAGTGGCTTCGCCCTATTTTAGTGTTTTGTAAGGGGCCACCCTGATCGGAATGGTGGACTTCTCCTCCCCAAAACCCGACCTCTTCCATGGAACTTTTCACCTTTTAATTCCTGGATATACCTCTTAATCTCAAATAAATTTTCAGCGCCACAGGTGAATTCATAACCTCGCGGAAATCATCAATATCCACATTGATGTCCGAGCAAAAATTTTCAAATATACGGAACCGATATCCAACCCAAATCCTCAATAAACTTTATACTTTACCTGATAACGCTTTTTCAGCTTATATTCTGATGTTCTCCTATGAACATTTATAACAACAACAGGTTTACCTCCAATTATAGATAATTGACTTGAATGTGAAAACCCATTTAATTTATTCTTGTTGTACCTCCATATTACTCCAATCAACTAAAATTTTTTATTATTTGATTTTAATTTATTTAGTACAATAATTTCAAATAATCCTATTAAAGCAAGAAATACAGCAATTATTGCACTAGATAATGTCACATTTTGAGAAGATAAATTATCATTTGCTTCATCTTCTTCGTTATTAATAAAGTTTAAGACAGACAGAATTAACTGAAAGTAATTGTGAAATTATATAAAAATTGAAAGGATGAGCATGGGGTACTCCCGTAAATGGGAATTTCCGACGTTTTTTGGGCCAGGAATCCTCAATTCAAAAATCTGAATTTAAGTTTGTATCAGATATGCTGTGTAAACAATTTATGATCAAAGAGCGGCTGCAGGATCATTGCCTGTTTAGTGACTGATTATAAACACTGAAAATTGTTTCTGATTTCTCCACTCATAAAAAGTTAACTCAATATTTAACATAAAATATCCGGAAAAATTAAAAAACCCTACAAAAATAAAAATCCATGAGGTTGTAAATATTCTTCCGTTCTTAGTTTCATAACATTTTATAAAAACTGTGGCACAAATTCGTTCAACAATAATTAGATGACAAAATATCATGCGAGAAAATATGGGAAGTTGCACAAGAAATTTTATTGGGATAAATCTTTAAATAAATTTTATTAAATCCAAATAATTTTTAAAAATACCTAAATTCTGTCTGAAACCAAAAAATGTCCCCCGTAAAATATTTTATTGGACCAACGAAATATAGCCTGATTAATGCTTCAAATATTATTAATCCGCTTTGTGTAATTAAAATAAATTTGAGGTTACGATGGAGTAACTTAAATATATTTAATTAGAAATTGAAATTTAGTTGAACTTTTTTTAATATTTGAATTTTCTTAACTTGAGAATAATTTCTACATTAATAAGCAATAAAATTAAGAAATTAAGACTCTCATAGTAAGATATAACTTCATTGCGGCTTCTTTGATCATAAGCAGAGGTGAATCGGAATTCCGATTTCCAACTTACGAGTTCCGACTTTTGAGATATTTCCGATTTCCGACAGTTCTTATATCTAGAACTTCGTTATTTCCGATTCACCTCTGATCATAAGCTAAAACCACAATTGGTTATAAAATTATACCAGGGATTTTCTGCTACCTAATCCAATTTCTTAAAACCTAATTTTTGGGTCTGAGTTTTAAAAAACGATTCAAAAACCCGAGTCATTTTCAATGACCTTCGATTTTTAAAATGTTTTAGTATAACTTTAATTCAAGTTCTTGGATTAAAGCTAGTCATAAAAACCCAAATTAGAACAATAATAATAAAATATCAAAATAAAATTATTAGACTTACACTAGTGCAATATAGAAGTTTTATACTAATTATTCCAAAAGGTATATTAATAAATTGAACAAAATATTCTATTAAAATAAGTAGCCAAGCAATTATACGTTGTTCTGAAGTAAAAAGTTCTAGTTTGGCAAACTCTTCAGAATCGAGTCCCAAATAATTTAGTTCAAATGGTGTTACATTATGCATTGTTTTTATTTATTTATTTTATTATTCAATAGAGGAAATATGTAGTTAAATTTCATAAAATTAATATAAGGTAAGAATAATATGAATTTATAAAGTTTGTTTAATAATTAAAAATTATGATTTATTGAAAATATTAATTTAAATTTTATGTTTAACTCTAGCAAATTTTAATTTAGTTAATTAATTTAGCTCAATATATCTTGTTAGAATTTATTTTTAAACAAATTTTAGTTTAAATTTATTTTCTAATAATATCCAAAAATGCCTAAAAATCTTTTTTCACAGAAATTAAAACTATAAATAATGCAAAATGAATTATTTAAAGAATTTTTGCCATTGTATTATTCCGTTTCCGTGAAAGATTTTTCATATTTAATAAAATGTAAGTAACCAAGAATATAAAAAATGTTAATTAAATAAAAGAATAAAAAATTAAAAAGGGAAGTTGGATATAAAACTAGAAAATATTTTAAACGAAACTGTTAATTCTTATAATAATAAAGGCTAGCCAACGGGAATGATTTTATTTAACGAATATACATATTTGAAACAAAAAAATAATTCAGTTACATCCATCGGGATTAGGCTTGCTCGAGAACTCCAAATTAAATAAATTTATTATACAACAGAGCGAAAAGACTTAAAAGATCTTTAAAAAAAGATCTTTAAAAAAAAAGATCTTTACAAGACAAAATGTTTCGAAAAATAGTATCTGAATTGAAATTATCTTGTAATACAATGCACAATAAATTTGAATTAACAAAATTAAGATAAAGGAACAGTTTATAATATCTTTCCAAATTTTTAGCATTTAATAAAAATAATTAGAAATGCTGGTTTTATAAAGTTAAATTATTTAATAAAATAATTTATTTTTTCTCCTTTACGTGAATTTGTTTAACACAACAACCTTTCATACTTTTAATATAAAATTTTAAAAATTATTTTAATTATTGCCTCAAAAACTAATAATTCAATCAGTTTTTTAATTTAATATAAGACCATTGGAACGTTTCGGACTGACACGAGTTTCCCTCTAACAATAAGTTATTTTATTAATTTAATCTTTAATTTGAAAATATAACAATATTAAAAAGTACAGTTGTCACCAATTTATTTGAAAATAAAAATAATAATTTAATTTAAACTTAATATTTATTTTTAAAATTTAATTCAAATTTGTTTTGATCAAATTTTTATCCTTATGACTTTATAGTGTAATAAAATTATTTGTTAAAATTAAATAAACATTTCTATTAAATGAAAATAAAAATTTTAAATGACAAAGGTTCCGAACATCGGAGCTGCTGGCAATTTTGCTTAAAAATCATCAGAAATTGGAAATTTTTCCTATATTTCGTAAAAGAAAAATCAGAAAGGAAAAAACGTTGGAACTCGTAAATCGAAATTCCGACCAACCTCTGGTACGTGGTTAGGCGTGTTGCAATAAAGTGCCAAGGGTTAAACTTTACCTCTCTCACATATTTTAATCAATTTGAAACATTTATGGAGGTCAGTATCAGGGATTCAAAAATGATAACGAGGTAAAAAGTCAGATGAATTTAAAAAGCTTACATGAAAGTTGAATAATTTTTTAACAAATTTTCAAACAAAAAAATTGTCATTTCCCGAATAAGGTTTGTTGAGTTGCGAGTTCAACATTCAACAGTTCAACATTTTGCGAATTCAACAAGAAGCAAAAAATGAGCTGAAAAATATTTTTTAACTGTAACATCCTGGAGCTACCGAATCTAAAAAAACTGTGGCGTTAAGTATTTAAAAATTTTTAACGTTTAACCTTTAAGCGTAAAAAAGAGGTTAGATATTTTTTTCTATTTTTTTCTATTTAAAAACTTTAAAAGATTTAACATAAATCTAATTTAAATCAAAAATTAAAGGAGAAGAATTCTGTCCAACTCACAGTATTTTTTTATTTCTGTCCATATTTTGTTGTAATTTGTTGAATATCTAAACTTTTTGTTTTTGCTTGTGAATACATATAAATAATTACGAAGAAATTTACACAAAGATTTTATATTTTCTAGAAAAATAAACCTCAACTCAGACAAGGAATCCACCGATAATTCAATCACTCATCAATCCCCACAAAATTGAAAACATTTACGCAGAAATTTGAATACTTATGTAGCTAACCTTCACACTTTCATCTCCAGATTCACCTCCACCAGTTTTGTTGGTGAACCTTTGATTGCAAACTGGGGCCCAACTTTAGTTTGAAATAAAGCCAAGATCAAATTTTCATGTTGACGGTTTTAATTCTTGCTGATTTTCTTTCCATAAACGATCATTTTTCTTAGTTAAATTAATTAGATTTTAATAATTTAGTTTAGTATATAAATTTGAAATATTCTCCAGAAACTCTAAGAAAATTGCCAAGTTATTAATTTTAAATTGTTTCTAAAAATTAAAAAAACCTTTTATTAATAAAAATTTTATCAAATATTTTTTTCTTAAAACTTATTTACTTACATATTTTTAATTTTTTAAATTATTGGCTGAGAGGTGAAGGGCATTATAAAATATTGACATGTGGATTTGCTTGCCTCTTTGTGTATTAATTTTTAATTTTTTAAACAAAGGTCCCAACAAAGGTTTAATTTAAACAAAGATTTTAAACAAATTCCTGTCAGATAATCTACCCTCTCCCCACTAGAAGCTTCCATCTTCAAGAAAATTTAAAAATTAATTTTATTAGAATTATGAAGAAAATATAAAATAAAAAAATTATTTAACTTAAAGCAAGATGAAAGTAAAAAATTTATTTATTATGAAATATAATTTCCAATTTTATTTAAAAAACATTTTTTTTGTTTTTCATGCCTCTTTTCAATATTTCAAACAAGAGCTTGTCGAATACACTTTAGAATCGCCTGTTAATTTTTCTCTAATTAAGAAATAGAATATTTTGTAGTTTGTATATTTATTATAGTTTAATAATTTTAAACGCTTGCACTTTGTCACCCGCTCCCTTTCTTTGAAAATACATAAAAGCTTGACAAAATTTTATAATGCCCTTTGCTTGTCAGCACTGCTGACAAGCAAAGGGCATTATTAAATTTTGTCAAGCTTTTTTGTATTTTTAATTTTTAATTAAGAAAGGGAGCGGGTGACAAAGTGCAAGCGTTTAAAATTATTAAACTATAATAAATATACAAACTACAAAATATTCTATTTCTTAATTAGAGAAAAATCAACAGGCGATTCTAAAGTGTATTCGACAAGCTCTTGCTTAAAATATTGAAAATAGGGATGAAAATCTAACAAAAATAAATTTTTTAAATAAAATTAGAAATTATATACACTTTAGAATCGAATGCAATTTAGAATCGCACTCTAATAGAATAATTTTTAAATTTTCTTAAAAAAGTTGTAAGCGTCTAGTTGGGAGAGGGGAGATTATGGGACTGTGTCAAAAGAAATAGGATTCTTGGTTTCTTTTGATTTAAAATTTCTTCTTTTGAAATTTTAGTATAACTTCTTTTAATTAAAATTCCTCTTTCTTGGAATTCTAATGTAAATTCAATTTAATTAAATTTTTAATTTTTATCCAACAAAATAAATTAATTTAAAGCTAAAACAATTTAAAAAATATTGGACGATTAAAAGTGAGAGAGAAGACTTTGATTTTTATTGTAAAAATATAAGAATGAACACAAAAAGGCTGTTTAGAGATTTATTTTATAACAGCAAAAAGGAGATGGAGTTTTTTGTGTAATAGCCATTTTTTTTATTATAAAATGGAAAGATGAAGAATAAATGGAAGAGGAACAATTTATGAGTAATTGAAAGGTTAAAAGGGAGCATTAGAAAAATGAATAATAAAATTAAAGATAAATGTTTAAATGTAAGGGGTTTTATGGGAAAATCAAATTTTTATAGATTTTTATCTTTAATTTACATTTTAATCTTCTTCGGTCTTTCGACGTTTTTTCTTCGACATGGCAATAGTCGAAACACTCCCCCTCTGAGAGTTATTTTGGTCATCGGGAGCATGAGCATTTTCAGGAGTGACCACTTGTTCCTCAAAAGAATTATTTTTTAGAAATATTTTTTGAATATTTTTTATCCGTTTATTAGGCATGTTAACAATTTTCCACAATTTATATAAAAAGAAAATTGTTTTATAAGTCCAGATTAGAATCCAAATTAGGCTAACAGTGAGGATCATTTTTTGTTTAAAATTCTCCCATATTTCGGTTAATGGCCAGAAGGTAAGTTTTTCGTTACTTATTTTAGCATCGAACTCATTATTATTGGAATTGTGTATATTTTCACTATTTTTGCTAATCCTAAATTCTTTAAAGGCTTGCATCATAATTTTTTCAGGATCATTTATTTTAGTTAAAACATGTCCTTTAAATGTTTGGCTATCCAGTATTGGAGCTTTATTCCATTTAGACCCTTTTGGGGTTTCTATAATGGATTGGGTTGAAACTTCGGATAAGGTGCCTTTCCTCTGATCTATCTTATAAATTGATCCGCGTATCAAAACTTTTTGAGTTTGATACTTAGTGCAGTCTCCAATTTCAGACTTTTCCTTTACTATTAATTTTTTCGGGTCTAGAAACAGATCGTTTTTATATTTTTCCATTTTAACCATAATTGGGAGGTCCTTAGTGCAATTGTTTTTATTTGCTCTAATTTTTATTTTTTCCCAATTTAATTCAATGCAAGGCCAAACCTCAATCCACGCTTCTGAAGATTTTGTATCTTCAGTGATCCATTCAGCTTCGATATAAGGAGTGCCAAATTTTTTCCGTGCGTAGGTTGTAGCATCTAAAGAAGTTATAAATTGCGGTTCAGCATTAATCTTACAAATTGTCTGAGCCAAATGATTATAAGCTCTTTTTAACAAAATCTCTGTTGTTAATCTTTGAGCTGTTTCACCAGCAGAGAATTGTGAAACTCGTACTGAACCATCTAAATTTAAATTTTCCAATTTATTTTTCAATTTATTTAAAGAACGTTTTTTCTTGTTT